TAAATACTATAAAATAATAATAAAATATTTATCCTTTGGAATTGCATAAAATTAAACAAAAAATATTTTAAAATTATATCATTTCAATAAATTTTAATTAAAAAACTAAAATAACATAATTTTAAGAAAAAATAAAGACTATTTTATTTTTTATTATTTTATTAAAACATTATAATTTTGAAGTGCCACTAATTAATCTCATATAAAATATAGTTTTAATTTTCATGTAATTATAAAGGGAAATGATTTTGAAACAATCTTTTTATATTATATTTTGGTACAACCTAACATATTATTTAAATGATTGATTCTTTTTATTTGTGTAAGATCCTTAATATTAAATACATCCATTCATTTAATTACATGTTAAAATTATATTAAAAGATAATATAAAAAAATTGTTCTTATAGCATCACTCAATTATAAATATCACATAAACTTTAAATTAGGATTGTATAATGCATATAAATAAAATGTCAAATCTAATTATCAGTTTCATAAAATATAATTATGTAAAAAGTTACAACTAATATAATATTACATATGAATTATACAAATATAACTCAATCTTGACTTTTTTTTAAATTTTTCTTTACCTAGATAAAATTTTATTTCTTAAGAATGGGTCCCAAAGAGAAAAGTTGTCACTTTATCTTGGTCCTAACTATTTCTTCTAGATTTGAAATGGATCCCATCGAGGCCGGATCTACTCTTGGGAGGAGTTATATACACACAAACTCTACCCTTCTCTCAAAAGACTTCCATAATCAAGTCTTGCAATCATGTACTTTACCTATTAAAATAAACATAATATACAAAACCTTTTAATTTTATGCCCTTTTACTCAAAAATAGAATAGACCTTATCCAATAATAGATTCTGGTTTCACTCCTTGTTTCTATAATTCAAATATCAAAAACAAATTTTTTCGTAAACAAAAATTGATATTTCTTATTAGACATTTTTCAAAAGCTTGGCAGGTCCATGGTAGCTCCGTCCCTGATGTCTATGTTAAGCTTCTTTTTTCCAATATTTTTTTAGATACTACATTTATATTTTTTTTGTTCAATATAAGACACCATGTGATTGTGTTATTAAAT